TTAATCGGATTTTTATGTTTAAAGATTGCTGAGAATCGTTATGGATTGCCATTAGGGGCGGATCCAGCCAAGTTTTGGGTGGGCCATGATTTAAAAAAAAAATACTAACATATGTAGTTTCTGGATTTTGATCCACCTTAACAAAAATATTAATGGACAAAAATATTAATGTGTAATTAGTTTTTATTTTAGCCTACCGTAACAAAAAATTTTGGATCCGCTACTGATTGCCATTTAGGATGCCGTTAATTGGTTCCCGTGTTTGCTGCTTATTGGTGTTGATAAAATATGGATGATTCACATGCATTCAATTAATGTATGTAGTACAGATCTTTCACATTCCTCTTTTAATTTGATAAAATGCAAGTGGTGGAAGATTGAAATGGTCAGTTTGTAATTCAGCAGGAATTGAATTAATTGAATTCAATACATAGAAGTTGAAAGTCCCGCAACTTATGAAAGTGGTTTTGACACAAATAAATTAATTATTTGTAGAACGAAATAATATTAGAACATTTTAGTTATAGGAATATATTCCCTTTTCAAAGCAAAAGAAGAGTTGCAACACTTTTCTTACAACAATTTGGTACATAATAATATAATTGAAATGACAATTTTGCCTTTCTTATAATTAGTAGTTCCTGCATGGAATATAACCATTGCTTTGAGGTCCAACAGTTAATCTTTCACCATCTTAAAAGGCTGCCCAACACCATGAAATGAGCAAAAATAAAATAAAATAAAACTTGTCATCCTTCATCATCCAACACAAACTCTATTCGCCAAAAAACACAAACTATTACTGGCTACAGAGTCCACAACAAAAACATGTATAACCTATCTAAGAATGTAAGTTTGCAACTTTTTGATAATATATTATGCTTCATTGATAAATACTTTGCAATATAACATTGTTTATAAGACACAGAAAAACAAAATAAATGGACAATATATATATATATATATTTTAAATGGTTCATACTATGTCTACGCCAAAAAAGAAATGTTCATTAAATTATTCGGAATGTCAACCCCATCAATGCTCACTGCGACCATCATTACCAAAGGTTGGCTACATAATAAAGGAATCAAAACTACATCAATTTATGTTCAGAAATAAATCAATAATAATATGAAATTTCATAAACACACAATGGTTTAAAGTAAGCACCTCTGATGGGGCAATGGTTGGCTACACTTGGAATGACCACTTCCGGTTGCTCAACAGGTGGTGTATATGTTGTTGTTGTAGGTGGAACAACTCTTAGTCAAGCACAGAGAGAAAGATGGGAACTGTAATTCCAAACTCCATGAATATATCAAAAACTGATAATGAAACATGCATCATTGATTCTCCAAAGAGCTTAATGCTGGAGCTTAGTTCGTCCTCAAGTCAAGAGGTTAGTCAAATTAGCCAAATATGAATATGAATATCCAAGAATTTGTCAAACATCCGCATATGTTTTAATCCAAATTTAATTTCTACGCAAAAGTTCACTAAAAACTTAAAAATTTCTATTTGAAAAACTCTTTCTACAAGAAGTTTGAGTTTATACTCAAAGAACATAATGGGTTACTAAATTGAGTCTGGTTACATAAAAGCACCAAGAAAAAAAAAAATTTCAACAGCATTTAGATATTAAGAAAACTTAAAAAGTAAGTCCTTTTAAGATTACACTAAGTTGGCACTTAAATCATCAAATTTTTACTCTATAAAAGAAAAGATTACGTTTTGAATATGGTCCCTGCTTTCCATCATGTTAGCTGCTGGGCTTGAGAACTAATTAAGTTCATTTATGATAAAAAAAAAAAAATACAATTAAAAGGATGTTACTCATTTATCCCATCACACACACATGCACATGCATACACATAAACACATATTGTATATGCATTAAATGTGACAAAGTAAGAGAAAGTTGTGCAATTCTTGGAAGCTAATACATTGTGCAGTAGCTAAAACATATCATATCCAATTTGATGGAGATCTATGGACAAAACCATATCATATCCAATTTGATGGAGATCTATGGACAAAACCATACCATTATGCTGTGTACCATAATCAATCTATAACTTCACATGGAAAATATATGTAATGTATGAAAAAAATAATACCAAACATTGACGGAGTTGGAATGTCATCGCCAATGACCATGCTAGTTCCCAAAGGCACTACCAGTAGCAATAGAAGTTACTCACTCCTCAATTGATTTTATGTTTCATCTAGTTTTTTAGCACAACTCTTGTGTTATACAAAGGGTTGCAATCTCACAATACAAACATCATAAGTTCACGCCTTAGTCTAACATATCATAAGGAAACAAAAAAGAAATGAAACATGTTAGAATCATTCACAATGGCTTTAAAAACAACCTCATCAACTTACAGGAAATCCCAATTCAATTAAATCGCAAAAACAATCAAACACCGCCATCAAATTTCCAATAAACATTTGAATTCTTCACATAAACATACCCACCTAGCAAGGCCAAGGCTAACACGATCAGGAATCTTGAAATCAGACATCTTGAACCTCATAACATGCCCTGACTCTTCTTCCTCCATAGAAACAACCTCAGTTTCAACTGGAGAAACAACCTTCCTCGAAGATGAACACTGAACTCCAAAACTTCTCCTCTGAAACATCACACATGACTTTGACTTCCCACAAACTGCCTACTAATTAGTCTTGTTGACAAATTCCCACTTAAACTCCATCTCTCAACACCTTCCAAACCCGGACTGGAACCAATCCCACATATCGCCATATAGCCAATCTCCAAAAAGACAATTTTGGATCATTCTGAGAACAAAAACAACTATAGATGTTTAGTTCTCATGTCATTTTAAGGAACATATAAAAAAAATCAATATTTAAATCTAAGTCATTGAATTATACAAAAAAATGAATCATTCAACACGTATAGAATAAGTTTAAGTTCAATTGTTGAGAAACTTATTCACTACTTAATTAAAAAACTTTTAAAATTTAAATCCAGTCCATTAAGTTATATAATGAAATGGAATCCTCAAGAAATGGATTAAAAGGTGTAAAATAGTAATGTAGAATTATGTGTTAACTGTAGAATAAACAGTATTTATATTAGCTTCTGGTATCATCATTCAATGGGAACAATAGACTGTGAATCTTTTATCGATTTTATTGATAATAGAACTGTTTTTTATATATAGTTCTATTTTTTTCCTTGAGGAATACCAAGTTCCTTTTCTTTGGCAAGAATCAGGGATTCATGTTTCCATAAATCGAATATTACATGTATGGTTGAGCCTGTTATTTCTAACAAAGCATTCATTATATCTCTGTTCATCACTCTGGCAATGTTGAGTTTGTCCAGCGTGACTTTAAGGTTTTGTAGAATACCTTCCAGTCCAGGCGAACCATCTGACATTGCTACTTGAACTGCTAAAAATAAAAAAAATGGACATATAAAAGTAGATATGTAGAAGGAATATAAGAGTAATCAGTTGATGTTATTTACCGCACGTTTCTGTTTGTTTGGATTTTGGATTGACAATAGTTGGTATTTTGTCTTCCATTTGTTAATGGTATTTGCGCGAAATTAAAGAAATATTTGAAGGTGTATGGATTGTTGAATTCTCTACTCTTATATAGCTTTAGATGTCATTAAGTAATATTATATGATAATTAATGATTACAACAACTGTTCGTGTTATGTTCAATGTAATTGGATTATTGCTAATTAATATAACTTTTGATATTTTTTAGTAAGTGTTTGCATGTTTTTTGTTATAGTTATTTTGATTTAAATGTTTTATTGTTATTGGATGAGTTTAAAATTTTCAGATTTATATTAAATGTTAAATGATAATACATTTTATAAAAAAAACATTTTTTGTTATTATGTTTGATATTTTTGATATTTTTGTTTAATTGAATATGAAAGGGTAAAGATATATTATTATTAATAATAATTAATTGAATGTGAAGGGGTACAAAAATATTAATATTAATTAATACTAATAATTAATATGCATGAATGAACGTTGAATATTAATGGATTAATAAAGTGTATTATTGAATTTCATGAATGTGAAAAGATATATTGTATCTTTATCAAATTAAAAGATATATGTGAAAGATTTGTATTGAATACATTAATTGAATGCATGTGAATAATTTCTATTATAGCAATCTCTTAATATATCATTACGTAATTTATGAATTAAAAGAGGAATGTGAAAGATTTGTATTGAATGTATGTGAATAATCCCTATTATAGTAAGCCCAATAAACAGCAAACACGTGGCCAATTAACGACATCATACATGACGATCATATATCAATCCTACGTAGCTTCAGAAGAAGCAGTCTGCTTCAACGTTATATAAATATATAGATTCTATCCAGTATTGACTATTGACTATCAATTCGCATGGGAATTAATTACCTTTTTGTCCCTGATGTTTGACAAGAATACTTTGGGTCCAGTAAAATTAGAAAAAAAGCTACTTCAATCCCTTATCAAACCAAGTCCGTTACATTCCGTTAAACGATTGAAGGGTATTTTTGTCCTTCTATACAGATAACTTAAGGATGTAGTAGGAGTGGGATTTTTTTTTTAATAGTATTTTTAACTTTTATTTTATTATTTTCTTAATTTTATATTTAATTATTAAATTTTAAGAATTATAATTAAAAGTTTCATATGTAATTTTTATAGAAGGGTCAAAATGCTCTTACATCATTTAATGGAATCTAACAGACTTGGCCTAAGCGGGACTGAAGTGGTTTTTTCTGATTTGACTGGGCCCAATGTATTTTCGTCAAACCTTAGGGATAAAAATGTTATTAACTCGTTTCCATGGTATCATTAACACGTAGTTGGTCAATGATAATCCTTTGTGAAAAGCTTCTTCAAACATGACGCCTTTTATCTAAACTAGAAGTTTCCTTCTTTCTTCCATGGATTGTTATATATATACATCCCCGGTACTTGAGAGTTTAATTAATATTTGCTTGTTTGTGAATCTCGCGCTATAATCAAAGAAAATGGAGAGAAGAATTTATGAAGCTGCAGTGGAGGGCAGCGTAATTTCTTTGCTTAACCTGCTTCAAGAAGATGCTCTACTTCTCGATAGAATTATGGTGGGCTGTTACGCGGAGACGCCTCTGCACGTAGCTTCCATGCTCGGGCATACAGAATTTGTGCAGGAAATTCTAAATCGAAAGCCGGAGCTAGCCGGAGAGCTTGATTCCCGGAAATCGTCCCCGCTTCACTTGGCAGCTGCAAAAGGGTACTTGGATATAGTTAAAAAGTTGGTATCGATTAATCCTGAGATGTGCCTTGTCGGTGATCGAGATGGAAGAAACCCTCTACATATTGCCGGCATCAAGGGTCACGTTAATGTGTTAAGAGAGTTGGTTCAAGCGAGACCCCAAGCGGCTCGAATCTTGATGGATAGAGGTGGAACGATTTTACATGTGTGTGTGAGATATAACCAGTTGGAGTCGATGAAATTTTTGGTGGAGACGATGAATGATCATGAGTTTGTGAATTTTAGGGATGATGATGGCAACAGTATATTACATCTGGCAGTGGCTGATAAACAAGTAGAGGTATGTTTGAAGTCAACTTATGACTTTGGTTTATTTCTAATTTGTTTTTATTTTCCATTGATTGGTATAAATATGAGACCAGGAGTTGTACTAGTCTTCTTAAATCCTTATATGAAAATTATATTGTTAAAAGGGTAAAATTATCATTGTTCTCAATCCATTGATCATTCTTCCAAGTATCGTGTGGTTATGACATTACTGTTTATAATAAATCTCACATGCCATATTGTCATGCCTTGATTTTAACGAATAATTTTTCGGTCTCATACTAAATGTTAGATAAATATGCAGGCAATAAAGTTTTTGATTACTAATGCTGCAATAGAAGTGAATGCGCTCAATTCAAATGGCTTGACTGCCTTGGATATTCTAACACGAAGCAGTAGAGATATGAAAGATTGGGAGATCGGAGAATTGCTTCGACATGCTGGAGGAATAAGTTCTGCAAAGGAAAACATAACTAGAACATCCCATGGCCATGGTGACAATCAAACTAGTAACACCTCAAACCCCAAAGGTAAACGTTCGAAAAAATATTTCAAGAAATCATCAGGAAATGATAATTGGCTAGAAAAGAAGCGCACTCCCATGATGATGGTAGCATCACTGATCGCCACCATGTCATTCCTCGCTCGTTTGAACCCTCCAGGTGGTTTGTGGCAAGACGACTTCCCCGGAAGCAACACAACATCACCTCACCGGGCAGGGTTTGCCATATTGGAAGATTTTGATTCAGACAAATATACATATTTCATAAATTACAACACCACAAGTTTTGTGGCTTCTCTGGGCACCATACTGTTCCTCCTGCTCATAGGAGACTTGCCATTTTTCAGGCATAAGTTTTTTATGTGGGTTTTATTGGGTATCATGTGGATTGCTATTAACGCGACGTTCGGGACTTATATCCTCTCAAGAACTACGCTTGCCATAGAAGCGTCCTATTTGGGTGTATTATACGTTTATTTTGTATGGTTAATCTTTACATTTTTTGTTCTTTTGGTACACGTTATTCGGATGATAGTGTGGATGACAAGAGGTTTGATAAAATTAATAAGGAGACGAAGAAGGAGATCAGCCTCAAGCACAAGTGGTAATCATCCTCCACATATCGTCTAATGCGTACAACTTTATGGAATGAGTATTAATGCATAAAATAGCATGTGCTTCACTGTATATTGGTGTGTTGTAATCTTACATATATTTTCGGGGCATTTGGTTCAGGAATGTAGATTACTGGGAATGTTGGATTACTGGAAATATAAATTACCTTGGAAGATTACTGGGAATCTAAGAAATATGTTTAGTTAGTTGGTAGGTATGTTATATTAATATGTTTGGTTATAGGGAATAAATTGGGGGGTATGTTATTTAAATTACTAAATTGTCTCTTTTAAATATTAATATAATATATTTTTATTATTAATTTTTGAATAATCTTTTAACCCCCAATATTTTAGATTTAGCTAAAACACCCTCGCTTATATAAAACTTTAATTTATGATGAAATCACCCCCACCTCTGTCGCCACACGCGAACCACCGCCGAAAAATCGCGGAGTCCCTAAAAAGAAGAAAATTTTGTGGGAGGCTCCGGAGGCTTCGATATGGCCGTTTCTGGCCATATTGATGGCCGAAAACGGCCATATCAGGCCAGATTTGGCCGGAAATGGCCAGATCTATTCTGGCCATTTTCGGACAAATCGATGAATCTGGCCGTTAACGACCAGATCTATTCGGCCAGAATAGATCTAGTCGTTAACAGCCATGTCTGTGGCTGTTAACGGCCAGATCTGGTCTGACCTGGCCGTTAGCGGCAGATCCATCGATCTGGCCGGAAATGGCCAGAAGATCTGGCCATTTCCAGCTAGTCTAGGCTTATGGCTGTTTTCGGCCATCAATATGGCCGGAAACGGCCATAGGGAAGCCTCCCATAGAATTTTCTTTTTTTAGGGACTCCGACGATTTTCCGGCGGTGGTCTATGGTGGTTGGCCCCCTGTCGGCGGTGGTGGCTAGGTGGCAGTGGTGGTGGCTGGTGGCAGTGGTGATCTGTAAATAATTTTAAATATAAGGGCATTATTGTCCAAAATTTTAATTAAACAAGGGTAAAATGAAATAGGATATTAATGTAAATTTGTTTTAAGTAGGAGTATTATGTCCAAAACTTTAATTAATAAGGGATAAATTGTAAACAAAAAGATAACTCTGGTAATTTCATAATATCTAAGAAATGGAAGTAATCAGATTACCTCAAATATTACCATAGTAACTACTATTGGTATTTGAAGATTACCGGTACTTATATTACTTGACAACCAAACATGGTAATCAAGTAGTATAAGTGATATTACCCCAATAATTCTAATTAACCCCCAATCAAACGCCCCCTTCAAGCTAGCTTTAACGTTTGTGCGATTGTAATTAGAGCTCAATTTCATGATTTGTGTTAATTAGCTTGGGTTGTGAGAATAAAAGGGGTGTACGTGTGCTTCCACATGTGTAATGTATTGAAATTCTTAGCAGAGAAAACTGGTACGAGTACCGATCACTTCTACACATAAAAAGTTTTCCCTGTCATTTGATTTAATATTTGATAGTGGCAGAACATGAAGTTCTAATATAATTATGATTTAATTATTGATATCGTTGTTTTATCCTAAAGAAGTGAAGTTCGTGTGTGATTATTTACATTAAAACCAGATATTTTGATATGAATTCGGATCTGGATAAGGACCTCTCATATAAGTTTTTTATTAGAACATTTTAAAATAAATAAAAAAGAGAAGAAAAGAGTCACATCCATTTTGATTAGCCATGTGATAAGATGAAAAATCATTTGACTCCTTTATTCTTTTCATACTTTTTTTACTTTTATATTTTATATACTTACAGTTATATTATTTATTATAATATGATTTTGTAATTCCTGAGTTAAAGTTTTTCGGAATATCCAACATCTTCAAGCTTTACTACATGCTCTAGATGGATTGAAAAAATTATGTTGAGTGGGCTCTTTAACATTGTTCTCATCTAGAATCCACAAGCCTGGGTGACATAGTTAAGGAAGGAAATAACGCATCCTAGCAGGATCGCAAAAAGCTACAATTTTCCTTAGTCACCACACCCATGACGGCTCCAGAAGTCAAATTATTTCAAGGCCAGTAAATTTGATTGAATGCTCCAGAAGGGCCACAATTATATTGAAAAATTGGACCAAGTTGGGTATCCACGATACTTTCTTTATACTCAAGTAGATCTAAGAGAAATCAACTCAGTTTTAAAGAATAAGAGCAATGGATACCACGTTGAGACCACAAGTGAAAACAATAAAGAAATTCTTTGTATGACTTAATGTGCCTGGCCAAAAGCGTGTACTAGAAACTTCCGCTTTTCCTTAAGATTGTAATATACAATCATAAGTGCAATAGAAACTACGTGTCTTGAACCAGAAGTTCATTAATCCAAAAGTTTTATGCTTTGGCATGGCCATCTTGGTCTCTGATTTACGGGGATGCGTAGGATTGTTGAAAATTCACATGAACACCTACTAAAGAATCAAAGAATTTTGTTGTCCTAGTGAGAAACTTTGTACCACTGTTCACAAGGCAAAGTAGTGGTCAGGCCATCATCTTCTAAGGTTGTCCATTGGCTCTTTATCATCCTACAAAGGATTTGGAGGGATATATGTGGATCCATTCACCTACCTAGTAGGTCATTTCGATATTTTATGATCTTAAGATATATCTACAAGATGATCATGTTTGTTTATTGCAACGAGAAGTTGTTTGCTAAATGTGGCACAAATCATTAAGTGAGAGCACATTCCCAACACTACCAATTAATCAATACGATTAGACAATGCTTGTGGATATAAATCCAAAACAATTGATGGTTGTTGTATATCTATGGGCATCGATGGGCATCTGGTTCACATGTCTACGCTCAAAATTGATTGGCAGAATCCTTCATCAAATGTCTCCAGGTAATTGCACGTATTTTATTATTAAGAACTCAATTACCAATTTCTACTTGGGGACACGCTATATTACATGCCACAACGTTAATTCGCTCGCGACCTATTTCTGATCATCAATATTCTCTTTGCAACTTATTCTTGGCACTAACTGGTATATCACATCTGATGACTTTTAGTTGTGGTGCAAGTCTTTATTGATTTCTCACGTAATAAAATAGGACGTCAAAGATGTTTAGGAATATAGTTTGTTATAACTCTCTATCAATCATGGATATCTTGAACCTTTGATGGGTGAATTTTATTGCACGCTTTGCGATTGTCTTTTAATAAGATGATACCCCACATTTAGGGGAAAAGAAAACGCCTCCTATCGCTTGCGTGGTCGTAACTTTTGGGATGTGCGGTTGGAGTCCAACACCGACTAGACACGTTTAAGTTAGTGGGGTATAAGAAGAGGTAATCTCTATTTCAATAATGTTTTATTGGGTGAGAAATTAGACTTATATCAAATTCTATCATGGTATCAGAGTCAGGTTCAGTTGAGCTGAGTGTTTAACCAGCGGGGGGGAGTTAGAGCAACAACTACCTCAAATAACAGGCGACAACATATGAGCTTGACCGTGAGGGAGAGTGTGGAGTCCTACACCGATTAGACACGCTCAAGCCTATTGGTTATAAGAGAAAAATATCTCCATTAGCAAGACCTTGTTGGGTGAGGAGTCAGACCTATTTCAAATTTATCCGTGCGGGTGTTCTGGGATGCAAGTTGGAATTGAAGGAAATTAATTGAGTTAAAGAGACAAAATAAGAAGGCATATTGGAGTGCAGTTAGGTGATGGGCTTCAACTTCTCTTTGGTTTGACGACTGGCATCCCTAGGTCCCTTAGAGATTTGTCCCTATAGGATGATGTCAAGTTGGTTTGGGCGACTGCAACTGCTTTTGATGTTTTGAAAATGGTAGGTGTGGCTTGGCCTGATTCCATTCAGCATGCTTTCCCCCAAATTATTTCTCCGTCTCCCTCGCTTCCCTCGGTTCTTTTTGTGATATAATTTACTGGTGCTCTTCTGATGGTAAAAAGGGTAATTTCTCCTTTTGACAGGCTGGTAGGATTTATCCCCGTGAGTTCAAGGGTTCCTGGAGTGAGTTACTTTGGATGGCAAATTGCATTCCCCGCCACTCCTTCATTCTCTGGTTAGCCATAAAGCATAAATTGCTTATGAAGAACAGAATGTGTCCTGGTTGGGTTAAAGGAGTTGGCTTGGTCTTGTGGAGGCCCTAGCGAGTCTCATAAACCACTTGTTTTTTGAATGTCTGTTTCTAAATTCTCTTGGCAACTGTTCAAGCCAAAGGGAAGTTTCACACCAATTGGCACTGGGACAAACGTTGTTGTTGGTGTGTCGTCAACTTTAAAAGAAAGAGCATAAGGAGTTGTGTGTCGGTTACTGGTTGGGGCTTTGTTTTATTTTGTTTGGCAAGAAAGGAACTTCAAAATTTTTAAAGATAAGGGCGTGACTGTAACTCTATTAAAAACCATGTTTTTTATTAGGTTTGTCGTAGAATGCACTCTATCAAGTTTAGAGATATGCTCGAGTTCGCTAGGTGTTGGAAGATTGGAACATTCCAACTTCGACGCTTGGAAGGATAATATAAAATTTTCTTCATGACTATGGGGAATTTTGTTTACATGGGGAGTTTCTGGGTGCTGTGCAAAATGAAACAGAATTTCTTTTTGTCAATTCTGTTGGAAATGCAAAGCTTCTTTGCAGGAGTTACTATCTTGTGTTGGTGGTCTTTGATCTCATACTTGGGTATCACGGAGAAGAGCTGAGGAATGTGAGATTTGTAGGGGGGTTTATGTTTGGGAGGTTTATGTCTACTGCTGCCTGTAAGTTTCTTCTGGATGGGAGGTTGGAGATATATATAGGGGATGGTTTATGGTTGCTTGTATGTTTTCTTTTCAGATTGCAATGATCTCGGTGCACTTTATTGTTATTTGGACAAAATTTTTTTTTTCTTTTTTTTGCTGGCCTCGGAGGGCTTTTGAGTGGCCCGTGTGTTGTCCAGGTTCTGCAAGAGTTCCACCTGGTGTTTGCACCTTTGGATTTATGTTTTTCTTCGATCCTCCTGGTGCATGTTGTCTTGTTGTTTTCTCACGTGTGGGGGGATGGTGTTTGCACCTTGGGTTTCTGTTTTCTTCGATCCTCATGGTGCATGTTTGTCTTGTTGTTTTTCTCACTGTTGGGCGGGATATGGCTGGCAAGTTACGAGAGTGGCTTTTGGATTGTAGGTTCTTGTTTTTGCCCGGATGCTGGTTTTTGTAAAGGATGTG